AACCGCCCAACCACCCAACCACCCAACTAACCAACCAACGTACTACTGTTCGTAATTATTATTATTATATATACTTTTTTTTGCAGTCGCGAGACTCAACTCATTGTGTTCGTCGCTTATCGTACGCATTGTGTTGCCGTCATCTTTCGCAGTGCCGTCGGCCAGCCATTGAGACTGTTCATAATTGTCAGGTTCACTTATTCAACCTTGCGACACAACATGGCCGACATAGTTGTTGTTGTGAAAGAGGCTGTGGATGGAAAGGAAATCGTCGTGAGAGAGACAGTGTGTGAGCGCTATACTGAAAACGGAAGAGACTTTGAATACTAGGAAGGCGTTGTCGCCACGAAAACACGTGTGTAATACGCGTTCATGGAGGACACCCTCGCTTTGAGGGTCGTGGCGGGGCTGGGGTACGACGACCTTGATTGCCTTGATGAGGTTGTTATGCATGCAAAAAAGCTTTCGGATGTTGTTCCCGACGCCTGTGAACCCCCGACTTCGATATAATTGGTCATTTGCGAAGGTGCATCGTGTCAGTCGTTGCGGTCGAGCATGTGGAAAGGTTAGCACGCAACACATGGTATTTCTCCAAACTCGACCGGCCGCTGCAACGCTGTAGCTTTCTCCACGGAGATGTGCGCAGTGTGATGTCAAAGGACGGTTGCGGACAAAAGTGCGAAAGTGCCAACGAACCATCATCCCGCTCGTCTCATGCATAGTCTGAAACAGGTGGGTTGACAAACAAAATCGTAAAGGTTTTCAAAATTTGACAGCGTTCAAGATCGCGACTACCCACTCATCCCATATATATGTATACAGGGCGATCCCCCTCCCCGTACGGTACATGCAGAATATCATGTTCGCGTTATTCGTTACTCGATCGTTGGGTTTATAACTTACGGTCTTGGTTTCTGTGAATTGCAGCACTTTTCAAACGCCGTACGTAAGAAGCGACGATGCATTGCGCGCCAATGATTTTCCGATGTTACCACACCAAAAAACTGACAGGCGGCGACACCGTGTAATATTACGAATCAATGACTCTCCTAACAGATCCTGTCGACGATACAGTGCGATACCACAATGGAGACAAGAAGGTGGTTCGTTATTTCGTTGTCAGCGTCGAGGAGGAAGGAGTTGTCAGGCTCACTATAGAGACTTATATTCGTGACCACGCCATCGAACACGTTTGTGTCCTAATGTCTAAGCCGACCATGTACTTCAGCATCTTTGTTCTCAAACCGGTCGACGGTGATTTGATATATGATATCGTCTTTCCCCTTGTGCATCGCATGCTATACACACACCACGGGACGGTCGCTCGGAACGGCGTCTGGCGCCTGGTCGTGTCACCGCCCTATTTTGTCTCCGATGATGAGGATTTCTCCGCCATGTTTTATCGTTGTAGCGCGATCCAGCGATGAGTACCATTCGTTTTTTTTTTTTTCCTATGTTTCTTCCTTGTTGGAGAGAGACAAAATGATGGTTTCAAATATTGAACATTTTGTGTATACATATGCAATCGTCATCTCCCATGTGTTTGTTATATGTTTTGAGTTCTTTTTATTCGCCTGCTTTGCGTTGTGAAATTTATTTTCGTCTTTGTTATGTGGAGGTTCAGTACTAAGGTCATCGGTGCCCGTGATGTTGTGCTTTGTAGATTTCTAAAAATTAACATATAAGCGACAGAACAATATTCACCCATTCCCATACATGGACCGCCGACGACGCAGGGATGGCGTGCGGGCCGACGCAGTCGTGTTTGGAAATGGGACAGATACAGATCCTTTCCGCGACGAGGAGTTGACAGTCGCCGAGATTAGGAGTCGGTGGCCGAGACCCGCAACGCTTTTGGAGGAGGCTGTTACTTTTGCAGGGCTGGACGAGCATCTGCAACAGTGCATGAATCTGCTTATTGGTCGTGCAAATCTCGAACTAAAGCAGAATCGTTACAATGGATATATCGTTTTTTCTCGGCTGTGCGGGTTCGTCATTTTCCGACAGAGATTGCTAGATGAGTTCCAAACGGCAATGCGGGAACGATGGCCAGATACAATCATTCGAGGTTATGAACTACGACAATGTGATCCTCCTGAAAACGTGCGCCCACGTCGACGTGCACGGCGGTAAATGCTTCAGGACACGAGAGATAGATAGATAGATCGATAGATAAATAGATAGATGGATAGATAGATAGATAGATAGAGAGAGAGAGCGAGAGAGAGAGAGAGAGAGAGAGAGAGAGAGAGAGAGAGAGAGAGAGAGAGAGAGAGAGAGAGA